ATTAAGCTGAGGTGTGGGGCACATGAAGGGTAGCCACATTATTTATAGTAACATGGATTATTAATGGAATTGTACTGCTCTGTCTTCTAACCTTTATTCGACTAGTTCCTAGCTGAGTAGCCTTAACTTTCCCAGACATCAGCTTCCTCTATTCTTTTCTTTTTTTAAAATTTTTATTTTTTCTAGTTGTAGATGATATAATACCTTTATTTTATTTATTTATGTTTATGTGGTGCTGAGGATTGAACCCAGAGCCTCACCTGGGCTAAGCAAGCACTCTACCACTGAGCTACAACCTCAGCCCCTCAGCTTCCTCTTTTCTAAAGTGGAGATAATAGCAGTACCTGTGCCATAGAGTCATTGGGAAGGATTAAGCTAATATGCATAAAGCTCTAAGCACAGCTCTTGGCACTTGGTAACAGTGAATTATGGGACCTGCTTCAGGATTCTAATAATTTTTGTGGCACCTGTGGATTGGGGAGGGGAGAGGCTTTGTAGAGAATGTAATTTGGGAGCTAGGTCTTAGAAGGCAAGAAGGTATTAGCATCCCTTCCATTAGTAGATAAAGAAGAGAAGGATTCCTGGCAGCAACGTGGCTGAAATGTCAGAGACCATGACATAGCTGTGGAAATTGCAGAGTCAACTCTTAGATGAAAGTGGGGAGGCAAGAGGAGGTGAGGCAGAAAAGATACCAAGGACCAATCTCAAAGAACCTTCTAGAGCTTATGGAGAACTTCGAACTGGATCTCCTTTCAGTCCCTCTATTCACATAGTCTGGTTCCTCTGTTAAGCAGTTACATGAATGCCTTTAAGAGCTGCAACAGTGAAAAGGGGGAAAGGGGCAGTGAATTGGCCTCAAATGAACTGGCATCTCTTTAAAGTTAATATTCCTCCTTGAGAATACTACATTAATTGAACATGTGGCTTGCAAGATTCCTTATTGCTGTGTTCCCTGTTGGTTGTCATTCATTAATCTGCTGATTAGTAGCCCTGAACTCTTGTATTCCCCCCACTTTTTTTTTTTTGCATTCCCTTTTTAATATACTACGTTGTTCCCTTGGGACATAAACTCCAGGACCCGTCCCTGGCCTGCTTATGTTTGTTTTCTTTGCCCCTTGTGCCTGCCTCTGCTATAACATTTGTAGTATGTGTTAAGTAATCCTTAAGGTAACATTTTTATTATGTCATAAAAAGTGCATGGCAAATATATTATAACTCACGGACTTTGTTTAAAAATGAACGGATAATTTATTGAGTGTGTTACTTGAGCCTTGCTCCCCTCCCCATTTCAGCAGAGACCTGCTGCTCATTTAGCTTAGCCTCCTATTGAGTGCTCCCACCCTGTGACATGCTGGGAAAGCAGAGCCATGGTTGGCTAGAAATGACATCATAGTTTATGTACTCAATAAAAATTTAATTAAGTCATTACAGGAATTGCAGTCATCATTTAACCCTCTGATTTCTTCTGTTTAGTTTATTATTAAACATTCAGTAATACCAGGCACCGAATCCTGATGGCTTATAAAATATCTGCATGAATTTTAATAGCTTAAATAAATGGGAAAATATGAGTAACTGATATAAAAGGAACCTTTCCCATGTGGTAGTGCAGTATGTATGGGTTTTTATAAAAAGCAAATCATTATGGAAAGGATAAGAGTTTAATAAGCAAGCAGCCCAACATTATCTGGGAGGAGTTTCTCTTCTGCTGGGGGCATCTCTACAGGCTTGGTGCTCCATACAGAATGATCTGGCAATAAGTAGAAAGAGAACCTGCATACCAGCAAACAAGAGCTTAAGTAAAGTAGGGAATAAAATCCAGTAGGGTTCACCAGAGGGAATATCCAGTTCCTCTTCACTGTTAGGCTGGCAAGAAAGGCCCAGTGAGGTGAGTTCAGTAGTTCAGGAAGCTGCTGTCACTTTCCCTCACCTGTTGCCTATAGATCACGTGTCTGCACTGATTGAGCTTCCACTGTCTTCCAGGAAGAGTCCTTTTCATGATCTAATCCAGCCTGGTGATGAGATCTGAAAACCATCCCTGTCTGTGGCAGCTTGCCATCTCTTAACTGGAGGTGATGGGGAGAGGCAGCTTATAGGTCATTGGACTTAGAATAGAAGACCAGGAGGTAGAGGAACCTTGCTAATAAAGAGCTCCACTCCTGCAGTTTGTTTTTTCTGGGCAACAGACAGCCAGGATGCAGGTGCATCCCAAGAGAGAACGTGTTTTTGTTCATACTTGGGCCTTGCAGGGAAGCAAGAACTGAGGTTTGCAGATTAATATGTTGGTGATCTCTGAAAATACTCTGCAAAAGGTGAAGTAGGAAAAGTACTGGCCCAGAAATTAGATTCTAATCCTGGTTCTGGCACTAACTTGATGTGTGACCTTGGATGAGTGTCTATCCCCTTTTGGGCCATCTCCTCCGGGGTATTGAGGTAGGCGATCTCTGAGGGTTCTTCTAGCTCCAGAGCTTAATGGTGTGATTCAACATGTACACTGGTCCGCAGAGCAGATTTGTGAATGTTTTCCTCTGAGAGGTCCTCCTGCTTTATGGTGTTTGACACCCCTGATGTCTTTTTGTGGCTCAGGTGCTTCTTGCCCAGTTAAGAAAACAACTGGCCTGGGAGTAGGGAGAGCCTCCAAATGGGTATTAAGTAGTTTGAGTCAAAGTTGCATCTTCACAAGCCAGAAGGAATGAACTCTAGCTCTGGTGTGTTTTCTTGATTTTTCTTTTACCCCCATCCATTTGGAAGATGAGCAGAAGTTTGGTGATATGTTTCTGGAATTTTCAGAAACATGGAAGTTGTTTAGTAGCAAAACCCCAAACAGAACAAAGCAATGGTGTCATTGAACCAAACATGCTCTGAGTGGTACCCTTGTAAAGATTCTGTTAACAGCATATCTGTATGTGCCCCGCCCCTGTCTCTGGCTATGGACTACCTGTTGGGGTGCTGAGATTAATCAGTCACAATGTCTTTGACCCTTGTAGCTTCTAGTTTGGTGAGAGAGGCAGGTGCATAAGCAACTCTAAACCATGTTGTGTACCCAGGGGGGAAAGTGTACATAGTGCTCTGAGAACACAGAGGATGGATGGCTGATGCCACCCTGGTTGAAGATGGTGGGAAAGGTTGTGGTTTGCACTCCCCTCTGCCACCAATCTCACATTTTTCAGTCTTGAGCTTCACATTTCTCTTTTTGTTTTTGAAAATTATCCATGACTATAAAGTATTGGAACTGGTTTTAGTTTTACATAAACAAACCAGAAGTTATTACTCATAATTCCTTGCCCTGTGCAGTTTACGAAGGCTTTCAGCATATGTTGTTAAATTAATGAATGAATATACACTAACTCATTTGCTCTTGAAAATAACCCTTGTGTGCAGGGCATTTAAAAGACAAGAAAATGGACTTGGAGAGGTTATTTTACTTGCTGAAGATCATATCTGATGTACATAGCAGAACTATGACTTGGACTCAGGATTTCTGATTCTAAATCCAAATCCTTTGGCCTTTCCTGCTCTTCTTCAGACAGTAGTTATGAACCACAGGATAAGATCACTCTCAGTCTTTTGATTTGTGATCCTAAGTAAAATTTTCCTCTTGGAGGCAGGCATCTGTGGAATGGAAGTCAGTGTGGACTTTGTATTCAGACTGACCTGAATGCCAATCCCAGTTTTATCGCTGATTTGCTGTGTAACTTAGGGCAAGTCACTTCACCTCCATGAGTGCCTCAAGCAGTCACATGTAGGTGATTGTAACACACATCTATCTGCCTCTGTGAACTTCTAGTGGGGATTAGAAGAGATGATGTTAATAAAGCACCTGGCCCATAGCAGGTACTCAGTAAATGGAGATTATGGTGGACAAGGTCATGGAGAGGGTTGTTATTCTCCTATAAGTTCCAAATAATGTTTGGTGGTTTCTAAAACCAGTTAGGTTAAATAGCAAGTCCTTACTCTGTGTTACATACTACAAGAGCTTTCTTCTGGGATCCCAGAGAAGACTAAATCTTGGACCTTGCCCTGAAGCGTATTACTTACTGCCTGAAGGTCAAAACATCCAGTGAACTCCAGGCTCTGAAGGTGCCCTTGACTATTCCCTAATTCTCTGAGGGTCTCTACAATCCCAAGAATTGCCTTTCTAAAACAGTCTCTCAGCATTAGTCTTACTGCTTCCAAGTTGCCCATCTCTTTCTTCGCTCCTCTCCACATCCTCAGAGGCCCTCGGTGCTCCTCACCATCTCACAGTCATGCCTTTCTCCCTCCTCTTCCCACCTCTGACAGCTTCCTTCTTTTTGTCTTTCATTATGACAAGCTCTTCTGAGCAGCCCTTGAGACATTTCCTAACCAGGTGCCAACATACTTTTCCAGTGTTTCTGCCCATTCCCCTTCCTCGACACTTCCAGGTGTTCTTTTTCCTGCTGCTCACCTCTGCACACTTTGTTCTCCCTGTCTTTTTTTTTTTTTCTTTTGTGTTCTCCCTGTTTTGAATGGCCCCTCTCTTCTGCCTCCTGTCATGCCTGTCAGACCTTGTCCCAGGTCCACTTAAGTGTTACTTCCTGGAGCACTCATCCCCAACAAGAAGTCATTGCTCTGAAATTCATTTCTCTCTTAGCACATTTTGAGTAAGGTTTGAGACAACAGTTGCAGTGTTGTTGTTGTTGTTTTATATCTTTTTCCATAGTAGACTATGTTCATCCAATTAAGACACCATTTCTTATATATCATGTTCATATTATCTAACACAAAACCAGATCTGTAGTTTGATCAGTTCATCAAACTGATTGCTTTGTGTAGTTTGACATAAAACCTAAAAAAAAAGTTGGCGAATTGAGGAGAATTCTGATAGACAAAGGTATTGGGACTGGACTGGCAGTTAGACTTGTTAAGATTTCTTTCTCTTTGTTCTACTAACAGTCTGTAACAGCAAAGAGCCTAAGGTCATACTTTTTGGCTTTTTTCCTTTCTTTCATCTATTTTGTTTTTGCCCTTTGTTCTTGTAGGTTAATTCTTATGTCCTGAAGAAGAACATGATCCTCATGACAAATAATTTCTATGCAGCAATCTTGGGATACGATGAGGTAAGATCACATGCCAGGTCTGGGGCAGAACAGTGGCCTTCCCTAACAAAGGCTTTTGATCTGAAGGAAGCTTCAGGACCATCTTTACTGCCTGTCGTTATGGCTTAGTATCTATTTCTTCATCTTATTGACTGGTTCACCAGTGCTTGGAAAAGACAGCACTAAATAATGTGGTCACATCTTAAAGTAGTCAGTGCTTGAGTGCCTGCTGGGTATTGGATAGATAAACACTGACAAGTCAGACACTGTCTCAGCCCCATTTGCTCCCAGAGAGAGGGACATTCACATGTAGATAGCATGATAGCCAGGCAAATTACATACTTTTTTTTCTTTAATTATAAAAGTAGTACATATTCATTTAAAAAGTTTGTGAAATTCTACATAAGTGGTTGAAATATAAATAGAAGGCCCCATTTTCTCTTTTGCTCTTTTCTCTGCCCCAGAGGAAAACTAATATTATTAATAGCTTTTTGGATGTCCTTCTAGATATTATCTGTGCATAAACATATTTTTTCTCCTTTATGCAAATGGAGAGTTACACTCTATACACTATTCTTCAGCTTACTTTTTTTTACTGAACCATGTATCTTGGGAATCCTTCCATATCAGAACATTTAACTCTATCTCATCTTTTTTTACTGTAAAATATACATAATATAAAATTTTTCATTTTAACAATTTTAAATGTTCAGAATAGTGGCTGTAAGTATATTTGTCTTGTTGTGCTCTGAACACTGATTCCTCTATACCCTCTTTCCTCCATCCCTTGGCAACAGTTTTACTTTTTGTCTCTGTGAATTGGAGCACTCTAGGATCCTCATGTAAATGGAATTTCATTGTATTTGTCCTTTTGTGCCTGACTTGTTTCATTTAGCATAATGTCTTCAAGGTTCATCCATGTTGTAGTGTCTAGCTCATCTCCCATCATCCACCCCCACAGAAAAGTTAAAAGACAGAGAATGAGCACCTGTACACATACCACTAGGATTCGCCAGACTTTTTTTTGGTGGGGAGGGGGAATAAACCATGTGTCTTTGTACTCAATGTACTCATTACCTCCAGATTTAATGCAAGCATCACCCCTCCTAGAAAGTGATCCCTGACCTTCACCAGGCTTAGCTCATTCAGCCCTCCCTGGACTCTCACAGCTCTTACTATATTAGCATTAACTGTCACCCTGGCTGGGTGTAGATTTTCTTCTGGGAGGTAGCAGTGCCTACTGTGTATATTTCTGTTGCCAGAGTAGTGCTTGGCATTGCAGTAGGTGAGCAGTAAAGAGGGGAGGAAATGCACAAAGGGGTGAACATGAGGCAGTGGAGTTCAGGCTGCGTGAAGTGTTATCAGAAAGACAGTAATGAAAGCCAGAAGATAAACTTGTCCCCAAATTAAGTTAAATGACTTGCTTCAGATCATGGAACTAATTAAAATTTAAATTGGGGTCTCCAGATTCCCAACCTACTAGCTGTCCTCAGTTATAAGAGAGCAATTTAGACTACATACCATACACATGAGCTTTGATATGAGAATTGAGAAACATTGCTTATCTGTGCATATTAGTTGCTTCTTTTTTTTTTTTGGCTACATCCTCAATCTTTTTATTTTTTTGTTTTGAGACAGGGTCTTGCTTAGTTGCTGGGGCAGGGCCTGAACTTCTTGCCATCCTCCTTCTTTAGACTCCTGAGTTTCTGAGGTACAAGTGTGTGTCACTGCACCTGGTACATATTGGTTGCTAAATTAGATGCATTCTGATGTCAGAATTTCTCTCTCTCTCTCTCTCTCTCTCTATATATATATATATATATATGTATTAGTTCATTCATCAGCATTAATAAAAATGCACTGAATGGTATCTGTTCCAGTCCATTCTGGTAGGGCCATTTTACCTGAACACACCAGATCACAAGTTACCTGGGGTGCTTTTTGTTTTGTTTTGTTTTTAATTTTTTGGTGCACTGCTGGGGATTGAACCCAGTGTACTCTACCCCAGGTCTCACAAAGTTGCTGAGGGTTTTGCTAAGTTGCTGAGGCTAGCCTGGAATTTTTGGTCCTTCTGCCTCATCCTCCTGAGGCAGCTAGAATTATAGGCATGGGTCACTGAGCCCAGCCCTTTATACACACACACACACACACACATACATATATGTGTAATATATGTTACATGTATATTATATATGTGTGTATGTATAAATACATATGTGTGTGTGTCTGTTATACACACACACACACACACACACACACACATATAATTTTATTTTGAGACAGGTCTCACTAAGTTGTTCAAGTTGACCTCAAATTTGTGATCCAGCCTTCCAAGTCACTGGGATTATAACTGTAGGCCACCATGCCATCCTCTCCTTTTTAAATTTAATTTTCTTTTGAGACAGCATTTGAAGCCAGCCAAGTTGCTCAGGCTGACCTCAAACTTTCATCCTCCTTCCTCAGCCTCCTGAGTGGCTGAAATTACAGGTGTGTGCCACCACATCCAGCCCTGTGTGTATATTTAATGCACTAATGTTCTCTCTTGCTTACAGTGTCCTGCAGCTGTCTACATTTTCCCCATTCTTTAAAGCTCATGTCTCCACAACTTTCCCTGACCTTTCTAGATCTCTGGTGCTTTGACTCCACATTTCAACATTCCTGTCCATTTAGCATGTGTTTATTGGGTGTCTACCATGCACTGGGAATATATTGGTAAATCAAGTAAACATGGTCTCTTTCCTACAAAAATTACCTTATTACTGAGAGACAAGCAGACAGTAAACAAGCAGCAAGTAAACAAGTAAATAAATGTCTAATTACAAATAGAATGCAGTGATAGAGAATAACAGGGGAATGAGGAGTCATCAGAGATCTAAGGCTGAAGAATAAGGAGGTCCTGTGCAGCCCATAGGTTGGGGTCTACCATGCAGCTTAGCATTTGTTCACTCTTTCCAACTTCGTTCTGTGCAGCTGTTTGATGTGCACTAGCTTTGTCCCTCCCCTCCCACTAAGATTGCAGGCTCCCTGAGAGCTGAGCCCAGGTTACTTTGACTCTGTTCTTAGTATCATGCTAAGTGCACAGTAGTGTTAAATCAGTCTCATCCAAGTGAAACTCTGCCACTCTAAACCCATCACCGTAACCAGATCCACTAGTGCCAGGACAGCCCCTTGACTTCCTCTCAGTTTCTTTCCACCAGGGTATCTTAATTTCCTGAAGGGATGCTCTCTTTGTATTGTGAGGGAAAGAAGTCATGAGGAAAATTGTGCAACCAAAGGCTTAGCTCCTAAGCACCCCTTTTCCTTTTCTGCTTCCTTTGTTTGAAATTTACACTCCCAGGCCAGTCTCCCATTTGTTTTTACTGAGTTACTGGCAGTCCGGTAGGTGACCAGCTATTTTCTGATCACTTGCACTGTGTGCCAGGTACTACATCATGCCTAGAGTGAGGCAGCAGCATCCCCTGACCTCAGCAGTGCTAGCTGGATCTACTTCCATCACCAATTAGCTAACTAACCCTTGAGCCTCAGATCTTTCACATGGGGGTAATAGTATCTGTGCTACATGCCATATGTACTCATTAAGAGCTGTCTGCATGAAGGAACCCTGAAGATCTGGAAGAGTCAGGTTGTTGGCACTGTTATCAAGTCCTGAGTCTTCCTCAGATTGCTCAAAAATTCCTGCTTATGGATTTTCCCTGCCCCAGCCTTCTTGCATACCAATTTAGGCTGCCTGTTTGTAGCAGGCCATTGCTGCCAGGATCTTCCTGTCCTGGGCTCTGCAAATTCTTCAAGTCCCTGTGATACCCACTCCCATTCTCAGTTTTTCACATATTAGGCATGTGGTTCTCTGCCAGCAGCACTCTAGCCTGTGCCCAGGGCACTCTAGACAAAGGCAGGGTGTTGTGTTAGCAAATAGCTTGGAGAATGGTGATGTGCCTGAGCTTGTCCTGGGTCTCTATTGCCATCTGCCAGAAGAAGCGTGTTTTCCTGACTCAGCCCTGTTGCCAGGACAATCTTCAGCTGTGGGACTGTGAGGTATTTAGTAGAGGGTGTCTGGAGCAGGTGGAATACTTTTCCACCAAATCGTCACCTTCCCACACTGAACATGGCCCTTCCTGGCAGCAGGCCTGGAACCAGACCTCAAATACCACAGTTCCCAAGAGACCAGACCATCAAATAAAATGGAACAAGTGCTCCTGGGTCTTTGCAATGTTTACCACTTACAGAGCCTTTCACAGGTATTGTCTTTTAATGCTTACAGTAGCTCTATGAGATGAGAATTATTCTTGTTTAATTCATGAGAAACTGAGGCTCAGAAAGGGGATTATTCTTGTTTAACTCATGAGAACTGAGGCTCGGGAAAGGTTAATGACTTTTCAGAGGCCACACAGCCATCAAGTAACAGAACTAGGGGTGGAATTGTGGCTCAGTGATAGAGCACTTGCCTCGCATGTGTGAGGCATTGGGTTCAATTCTCAGCACCACATATAAATAAATGAATAAAATAAAAGGCCCATCAACAACTAAAAAAAAAAAAAAGAATTACAGAGCTAGCTTTATTTTTTTCTTTTCTTGAGAAAGGGTCTTACTATGTTGTCCAGACTGGCCTCAAACTTCTGAGCTTAAGTGATCCTCCCTCCTCAGCCTCCTGAGTGCTGGGATTACAGGTGTGTGACTCTGCACCCAGCTTCAGAGCTACATTTGAACTCTGGCAGTCTGGCTTCAAATCCTGCTGTTGTCTTGACTGTATCCACAGCTTCCAGCTACAGCATGCTTCTAAGTGCTTGTATTCAACATATTATACTTTAAAAATGCCTTTACATTATCTTATTTTTATTTAAAAACTTTTTTTTGTTACAAGGGATTGAACTAGACGTGTTCTACCACTGAGCTACGTCCTCAGTCCTTTTTTGTTGTTGTTGTTGTTTTGAGATGGAGTCTCACTAGGTTGCTGAGGCTAGCCTGGAACTTGAGCTCCTTCTGCCTTAGCCTCTCATGTTGTTGGGATTACAGGTGAGCACCACCATGCCTGGCACATAATCTTATCTTTTATAATTCAAAGATGCTGTAAGTAGAGCAAGTATTTTCATCTCTTTAATAGCTGTGGAGTTTGAGGTTCAGGTTTAACCATCACCATTGAGCTTGGCATGGCAGAACTAGGACTTGATCCAGCCTTCCAACTCCAAGTCAGCACTTCAGTTCCACACACTATTTTGGCACTCAGGCAGAGCAATTTCCCAGGACCTTTCCCTCAGTCACCTCCATCCCTCCCTCCCTGAGAGATCTAAGCTAGAAAATGGCTCTAGTTAGCCTCTGTGATATTTGGGCTTCCCAGCAGAATTCTCTGTGCCAGGAGAGGCAGTATCAGGCATATACAGATTCAGGCTCTGCACATTGCCCTTGGTGGCCCTCTGTGGCCCATGGCAATCCTGCTGAACAGCCTATTCCTCTATTTAGGGAGAGGCTGGGCCAGTCAAGGCCAACCCAGAGGTGAGTGACAGTGAAGGCAAGGTTCCTGGCTCCCTTGAAAGAACTAGCTGCCTCATAGATGGGTGCCCTTGGACCAAGCAAGAAGGTGTAGTCCACACCCACTTCCATTCCTGGGAAAACACTCAAAACACTGTCAGCCATGCTGTGAGCAGCAGCACAGGCACTGCTGCTACCATTTCTCTTCTTGGCCTCTCAGTCATTGGCTGGGCCAGGCATGGTGAGTTGTTGTGCTGGGAGGGTCAATCAGATGTGAGTCCCAGCTCTGCATCACTTCAGCCAGTGACTTGTACCCTCTGGGCCCCAGGTTTTTCCTCTGTGTAAAGTGAAGAAGTTGGACTAAGTGTTCTTGTAAGACCCTTTCCAGCTCTGTGGTGCAGCTGCCTCATTTCCCCCTCACTGTCTCTGTGAGGTCCTTCTGAACCAGTTCTTTGTTTTCTCTTGTGCTCACAATATCCCCAGTTTTTGTATCATGGCCCTGCAGTACTCTCTGGAAGACTAGTTGTTATACTCTGTGTTCCAGGGGATCCTTTCAGATGATCATGGGTTGGCTGCTGCCCTCTGGAGAACCTTCTTCAACCAGAAATGTGAAGACCCCAGACAACTTGAATTGCTGGTGGAATATGTGAGGAAACAGGTGGGTGCCCTTTACCCCCCAGCAGAATCTTTTGAAAAGTGGGTCATCTTGAGGTTATGGGTGCTAGACTTTTAGGGAAACATGGGAGGCTGAGTTGCCAGAGACCTGTCTGCAGGAATTCTGACTTGATCATGTAAGCAGCAGGCACTGATTAAGAGCCAGCATCCTCTGTGTGTCTAGCTGTGAACTAGGCCAAGGACTCAGGGAATATAATAGAGAAGGAAGGACACTGAGTAACTTCCTGCTTTCAGAAAATTGTAGTTGTTATCCATTCTCTATACATTGCATTGCCTACTGTGTGCCAGGTGCTGTACTAAATGCTGGGCTCACGGAGTCCTGAAAGATACATACAGGCATGGGGCATATTGGCCCACCTATGTAGCCCCCTTCTGTATCCACTTAGAGCCCAGGATGCATTTCCTGTTCCTGACTTGCAGGACCAGGTTCTAAGCAGTATTCCACAGATACACCCCCAGAATCTTCCCACTGGCTGCTGTTCACTGTCTAGCAGGGTCTCCCCACTTCAAGTCTTCACCTCTCTAGCTCCCCAGGGCTCCCTGACACCAGAGCTTCTAGGAGAAGCTCCACTGCAAGGACTGCATTACTACACAGCTTTCTCAACCCCGTGGAGAATTAACTCCTTGATCTCCCTGTCCCCAGATTCTATAAAGATGAGAAACTCAAACTTTCTAGATGAGTAGGCCAAGTGACAGCAGGAGAACATGGAGGCTTTTCCAGGGTCTCCCAGTGAGTCAGCTTACACAGTTGGCCTCAGACCCCAAGCTGGGTGATTCATGTCACCACTAAAGGCCTCAGCTGCTGCAGACAGCTCATCAGCTTGGCTGCCCATGAGTCACACCTCTGCTTCATGGACCTGGCCCTGGGGCTGAAGGGGCCTCACCCAGTTGTTCTCTGGTTCACCTGTATCCACGGCCTTCAAACCTCCAACAGTCGGGAAAAGGAAGGGCTATCGGCTCTTTTGCAGTCATGGCCAATAGGACTACCTAGTTGATTGCTGGAAAGGTGACATATTGAGGCTCTTCAGACTCAGAGGGTAGAGAACCCCAGAAGCCAGAACTTCTGTTTGACTATTCAAATCTGTCAGAGCCAGGGAGAAGGCACTGGGGCCAGAGTGCTCCACCCACGGAGAATTCTGAGACTCTCACTGTTGACTGGACTCGCCCTCAGACAGGAGTAGCAATTGGCAAAGCAAATGCTGTTTTCTGAGAGACCCACCCAACTTTTCCATCTGCCATGGTGGGCATATGCCAGAGGCCACACACAACAAAGGCACAGCTGGGACCTTTCCAGGGACCCCGAAGAAGGGGTTGATACAACCAATATCCCTATATAGAAGTTCTTATATAGCCCCAGTGAGAGTCAGGAAAACAGTGATGGGGCCCTTAGGAAAGCAGGGAACTTTGATGGGGACCCATTTCTGTCAGCAAGCCTTTGAGCACTTGCCATGCCAGGCCCTATTGCTGGGAGAGCAGATTAACTAGGTCTAGTCCTGCGTTTGAGGAGCCAGTCAGGCACATCTCTAGTCCTGGAGTAAGTCAGTCTGCCCTGTGATCCAGGTAGACAGTGTTGGGGAAGGACCAAGAGAGAGGTGTGTTCTGTCCAGGTGGATCAAGGAAAATCAGGAAGCTGAACCTTGAGCAGACTCCAATCCTATTCCTGGTGCTGCTTGGTAACCAGTGTGGGTCATGTGGAGGTTTACAACTCAGGAGATAGGCAGTGGTAGCTTAGGGGCAGAAATGTAGTCACTAGAAAGAGGAGTGGACTTTAGGAAAGATGGCAGTTCAGTTGAGCTTCTTGCCCTGGAAAAGACATAGGGCATGTGAAATTCTAGACCTGAAGTATATCAAGAGGCTGGGGTTGAGTTCAAGGTTCAGCACTCTGAAGATGGGTCAATAAGAGTGATAAGTTCTTGGAAGAGGGATATAACCCTAGGCTTAAGATGAAGCTCCTGGTATTCCCTTTCCCCCAAGGAAGCCACATCTGTCTAGATATAGTGGTGCTTCCTGCTGTGATCCAGTTCTCACAGGAGATGTTGCTGTCCACTTGGAAGCGTTTCCCATCTGCAGCCCTCCTTACTAGCAGGCAGCCAGGGACTCCTCCAGAGATGCTTTAACCTCCTCATTAGCCCATCTGTCTCTTGCAGAACTGCCTCACCCTTTCCCCTGAAGCTCTTTCTGTTTGCCTGCATCATAGGTGTTCCTTCTCCACATGGAGGGTTGTGCACCTGGAGTCCTTGGGCAGGTCTAAAAGCATTCAGGGGCATGGCATTGCCCAGGGCAGTGGCAACTGGAGCTCACCCTCCGAGTGCCAAATGGGCTGGAGGTTAGTAAGAAGTTAGTTAGAAGAAAGCCCAGAGTGGACATGATCACTTTCTCCAAATGTCAGAACATCTGTCATTTGTGGGGAGCAGAAGGATAGGGCATTTGGTTCCCACCCCGCCTTCCCCAGTTTCAGCAGGAACACTTGAGGATCAGTGGTGAAAGCTGTAGGAGAGCAGCAGGGGCATTTCTGGGATGATGACCATCCTAACAGCAGAACTGTGAGGCTCTGTCAGACTTCCCCACCCATCCTAGATGGGGCACTCTGGAAGACAAAAGGCATATGTATTAGCAAAAAAGAGAAAAAAAGAAAAAGTTTGGGTGATCAACTCTGTGCAGATAACTTTATTTTTCCATGTGTCCATGAAGGTACACATTCTGTCCCCCCTCAAACAAGGGAACATAGATCTCCGAGAAGGGAAGGAGTAAAATTGGGATTCTTTTCTCCCAGCAGTGTTGGGTGGGGTGACTTCTGTAAGTTGCAGACTGACTTTCTGGCCTGCAAAAACTTTGTAGGGAGAGTGCAGCAGGGGGAGAAATGTCACTGGGGTGTGTAAGTTCAGAGGTGTGATAGGGAATTCCCTAAAATCTTTCCAGGGAGCTTCTTTCCCCAGACTTGTTTCTCCAGATCTCCTTAAAGTAATAATCTGGGAAATCAGAGTCACCTGGCCTGAAAGTTGGATGGTCAGAAGCCCCAGACTCCCTCCCCTTCCTCTTCTTGAGGAAGCTGGTTCATTATGCCACCTTTTGTGTGTCCAGCACCTGTCCTTGTCCTCTGATCCCTGCTCTTCCTGCTGCAGATGCAGTACCTGGACTCCATGAACGGTGAGGATCTGCTTCTGACAGGGGAGGTGAACTGGCGCCCTCTGGTGGAGAAGAATCCACAGAGCATCCTGAAGCCCCATGCTCCCACTTATAATGATGAGGGTCTTTGAGAGGCTGGTCCCTCCAGACAGGTGGCCAGCTGGCTTTGAGGAACCTCAGCAAGAGAAGTGCCTGTTTGGCTCAGGATCCTGCAGAAAGTGGCCTGAACTGACCTTTGAACAGCAGCTGTCAAATACCTGGCCCCATTTATGTTGTTTCCTCTTAGTGTGCCCTGGAGTCTGATCTGCTTGGGGGTAATAGTACAGGGAAAACCCCTAGCTCTTCTGACACATCCTCAAGAGGATCCCCAAGAAAGAGCACCCTGAAGCACATACTCCCCAAGTCCTTCCAGCACCACTTGTGACTGACAGCTCTTCCTAGAGGCTTACCAAGGGCTGGGGTAGGTTAGAAAGGAGATACCTCTATCAAGGGCTTGCTGTAGCCTAGGAGCAGTTTGCAGTGCTGCCGGGCCAAGACAGGTAGCCATACTCTGTCCCCCAGCTTTGAGACATAGGGTTGAGTTGGCCATTAAAAGAAACAGAGACTTATCTCTGCCATGGTTTTTATTTATTCCAGGATCTTTTAGGAACTTCTGTGAGGTGATGGATGCCATAGGCTAAGGAGCACTGCCCAACTCAGTTAAAGACAGAGAGAGAGGGGAGAGGTCAGATAGTCTCTGCTGCCGCCGATGCCTCTGGTTCTCAGAGATGTGTCACTCTGGCCAACACACAGTCTGCGAGGCCATCCTCTGGTAGCCAGGAGAGGTCTAATGGCCAAGGGGACTTGTGGCATCCTAAGTCATTTAAAGAGGCCTCAAGAACAAAGGTCCCTTTGTTAACCCCCAGTGAACAGAGTGAAAAATATGCTGTCTTTCCTCTCTTGGGCCTCCCCTTTTATGAGATATGGGGACAAAAAGAACATTCTTCCTGGCCTCATTGTACCTTCCCTCGACCCAGTCCCATGCCCAGCTCTCTTTCCTTTTCCAACCCTGGAAAATGTGCTGCAGAGCCACCTTGTCTGAGCACTGGAGTACCAGTTCCCCTCCTCCCTTGGAGTGTGGATCATTTTTGGGGGGATTTTCTTAAATTGAAGAAAGGGGGCGGGGAACCATCTTGCCCCTCCTTCCCCCATCAAAAGTCCTTCACTGAACTTGCTATAAAATGAGTCATATAAAGAAACTCTATACGGGTGAGGTATATCCCACTTCTGTGAAAACATTACAAATCAAACCGCCTTCTCTTGGTTTATTTAAGATGCTTTTGTTGCAAGCGGAGCTCCAGAGTGAAGCCTCCTCTGTGTGTGTGAGATAATAACACCTTGTAACTCATTACAGCTGGGCACTATTTACATAAACCAGAGCTGAGCCAGGCAGGAATTTGCTGATTAATTTATTTTTAATGGAGTGAAGTATACCATGCACCAAAATAAACTTTACTGTGTGTACCTAACTGCTCCTGGAATGGATGGAAAAATTAATGGAACAGATTTTGGCTCCCAGCTCTGCACATTAATTCATATATAAAAGTTATTTGAGCATTAACCCATTTGCTGCCCAGAAGCTCCCTAACCACAGATCCCAGCTCACATCAGTTTAGCTACTTACTGGGCTTCCTTTAGAATTCCAGCACCTCAGCTTGGGAAGGAACTTTAAAGGTCACTTGGGTCAGCCCTGGTCCAGAACTTGATTGCCCTTCATAACATCCTGGTTGGACTATGTTCTTGCAAGTTCTAGCTGAATCTCTCCAGCAGCAAATAGATGGTCCTTGCTTGCAGAGCCTGTATCCACAGGATTCAGTAATCATCAGACACAGCAACTCGTGACATTTCAAGCAATGTTTGAAAGAGCCAGATTGGATCTGTCATGTCTCTGATGTCCTGATGCCAACCTGTTTCCCCTTCAAGATAAAAAGCCAATGACTTAGAGGCTTCAGGCTCTTCTTTGACCCCTTTCCATTCCAGCCTGTCTTTGTAGATCTCTAACCTATTTCTTCCCTGAGCAAATGGAACCACTTGGCGTTACCAGAAGGGACCACATCGTGTGTTTTCTCCACCAGAACTCATCTCTTTCACTGCTGACTAAAGAAATCCCAAGTTTCCTCGAATGTCACCTCTCCTGTTTCCCTCAGGCCTGGGCACACTGTCCACAGGACTCTTTACAGCATCCTCTGCTCACTTAGCACCTCCCTTGCCACATGTGGTGATTTTTTTTCCCCACACAGCCGCCTCACACATAGCCCTGTGAGGAGCTTCCATGTAGAGCAGATGCTGTGTTGGTGTGGATCACCCAGTGCTCAGCAGAGTATGAAATGAGAAAATGAATGAACGACTAAAATCATCAGTCATTATCAGTATAAGCCCAATTAAAAAAAAATTCCTTTCTAGACCATTCTCAGTCTGACCTACAGTTCAGCTTATTTGAACAGTAATAGTAAAATATTAAGCACCTCCTTTTGCTTTAGCATAGGAACCAAAACTAAAAGCTCCAGCTAATGTTTTTCTAATGTAAACTGTTATTTTACAAAACAAGAGAAGGATATGATCTCTTGCCTCCAGAGAGATTGCTTTTTAGGAATGATTTTGTCATTTGTGTTCCATACTTCTGCAGGAGGGGGAATCATAGCAAATTTAAGAGACATGTTTATAATAAAACTAAGGCTATATTAAAGCAAAGTTTGAAAGATAACATGCACATATTATTGCAAGGGAAGAGAGGGGAAAAAATAGAAATCCTAGGCTGTTAATCGTCAACTTTCCTGACTTCTTTATAATAAAATATTTTAAATGCATTGTTTCACCCAGTCCTGTAAAATAGTTGTTATCCTCATCATTTTTCTTATCCCTTTTCCACAACTGAGGAGACTAAAGTTCAGAGAGGTCTAGAGAGTTAACCAAGAGTGCTTCAGCCTACATCATGTGACCCCAGCACTCCTGCTCGTTCTCCAGACCACACTGCCTCCCTCAGGTCAGTGAGGAGATCTGCACTTGACCTTCTGGCAGCCCAGTATGGAAAAGAGAAAGCCTTAAGGTTCCCATTGTCACATAAAAGAAAGTCTGTTTGCTAATTCATCAAAAAAATACAAACATTTTCCTTACTTTTTGGAGAAAAGTGTTTTATAAACATTTGCAAATAAGAAACAATAATGTGAACACTGCCTCCGAAGTTTCAGTTTTGCCTAAATTTTTTTTTTAATTGCTGAAGCTGGCTTTGAACTGGTGACCCTAGTGCCCCAGGCTCCTTTGTTACAGCAAGCTTATATTAAAACCCAGGCTACATTTCAGCTGCTATTTTTAGAAATTGTTTTTAGTTGTTAATGGACCTTTATTTTATTCATTTACTTATATGTGGTGCTGAGAATTGAACCCAGTGCCTCACACATGTGAGGGAAGTGCTGTACCCCTGAGCCACAAGCCCAGCCCTCTGCTATTTTTAAAATTTCTGCTCTAAGACACAGCTTGGTATTTTCACTTATTATCTCATTTAGTCCTCATTGACAGTCCTATGGGGGTAAGTGTGAAGTTCATGTTACACCTGAGGGAAACAGAAATGATGGAAGGTCCTGCATGCTGTGCACACTTGTGTGGCTCTGACCACCCAAGTTCTCTGCTTTTACTTCTGGAAGGGAATTCTAGATGGAGGATGGGGCAGTTGTGCTGTAGTTAAGAAGTTTAAAAATAAATAAAAACTAAAGCATTATTCCAGCCACAGGGGCTGGTGTGCGCACATAGACGGCTAACTGGGAAAATCACAAGAAGGTTAGAAATAAGGAAAGCTTTGAAGACAGGATAGGGTTTAGGGAGGTGGAAAAAAAAACAGGAAGTGTAGAACTGCCCAGATGAAGGCAGGAAACAGGAAGCTCTTCAGACACAAGTGGACCAGTGGAGTTGGCTGCTAAAGGAAGGAAAGGTTGCACAGTTCAGGGGGCCAGGAGTGGGCTTGGCCAGATACCATGCTATCTGATAGGCTGCAGGGAGGTGCATTTGCCCTAACGGTTGGTGTGCAGGATGAATTGGCCCAGCCAGGAAGGGAGTCTAGTTGAGGTTCTAGTGGGTGGGATTAGGAATTCAAAGAAAAGTTAAAATTCCAGAGACATCTCAGAGAAAAAACTCACCTAACTGCTCAAAATGCCTAAAGAAGGGGAGCAGCCACAGAACTCCCCTGGGGCCAAGGGTGGTGCCATCTGGTGAAAGACAGGCTGGAAAAGAATTGTGTTTTTCCAAATGGTGATTACAACATCCTATAGGCTGGGCAGGGCAGGGACTGCTGCCCCATCATGTGGTAGTGAAACAGGTTCACTCTTACTGGTATGAGGCAACCCCATAGCACGAACACTCACACTTCTCTTCAGTCCTACCCCATTGCTTTTGGTGCACACTGGCGTATCTGCATGGGGAACCAAGCTGGTGGGAGGTGGACTTCAGGCAGTAGAGGTGCCCCCGGGAAGGGCAAGGAGTATAGAAAGGATGCAGGAAATCATGAATTCTGCATGAATTCCCAGAGGTGAGGGTAACCCAGGGACTAGGACAGGGAGGCAGAATCCCTCACAGGAGGTGGTAGGAGGTTCGAGGAGGTAGGAGGTTCACTTCCAGAAGGACTCAGTTGGGCCTGCTGCAGAGTAGGGGCCAGGGAATGAGCTGGAGAGCTCAAGGGTTTCTGACTATTCAGAAACATAATTGTAAAGAGAATAGACGAGTGGTGAAGACGGCAAAGTATGGCAGCAACTGTTGGTATTTTGGGATGTGCTAGCTGAGAAGAAACAGAAAAACCAGGCAGGTTTTAGGAGAGAGGTGAAAACTCAAGGGAGATGTGTAAAGGAGGTGGGGGGATTCCAATTAAATGTAGAGCACCTGCCAGGTGCAGTGGCCCATGCCCAGTAGCTCAAAGGCTGGGGCAGGAGAGTCACCAGTTCAGAGCCAGCCTCAGCAAAAGCAAGGCGCTAAGCAACTCAGTGAGACCGGTCTCTAAATAAAATACAAAAAAGGGATGTGGCTCTGGGGTGGAGTGCCCCTGAGTTCAATCCCCAGTACCCCCTCCCTACCCACAAAAATAAAAAGTAAAAAGGGCTGGGGATGTGGCTCAGTTGTTAAGCATCCCTGGGTTCAATTCCCGGTAACCTCCCCTCCCACGCCCTGCCACACACACACACACACACACACACACACACAAAGTTAAGCACTTAGGGGAATAGGAAACTCCCCTGAATGTCAGAGATTCTTATTGCTATCAAAATCTAATGGAAATGGAGGTCTGGCTTGAGAACCCAGTCGGTCCTGGTTGGAAGAAGGGAATCTTTTCCTTGAAAGAATTCCCCACGCAAAGACACTTCGCCGGGAGAATTCCAATTTTATTGCAAAAAGCAGTGTGCTTATATAGAACTAAGGGGGAGATGGTAGGGCTTAGATAAATGGCAGGCAACCCGTTTATTGGCAAGTTCTTTCAGATATCAGCTCCGGAGCCCAGGAATTAGTTCTCATTGGGGCTAAGGTTCCCCGCCAGCGAGATTTGAAATTGGCGCCGGCGGGAGAGTTCACACGGGCGGGAACTTTTCGCGCCACTGCAGAAAAGAAGAAGGTAGGAAGAAGAGGTGCTTAGGCGCCATGTTGGGGTTTTTTCTCTGGGGTATGGCTGCCGTTTATACTTTTCCCAACATTCCTGAGGCCAGATATTGGAAGAACACATACAGGGAGGGAGACTAGGGATTCCTGAGGTGAGGCACAGAAGGAGAGGACAGCTCATGCCAACTGGTCTTGATGCCCAAGAAATCTAGAATTTATCAATCACTGGACTAATAATGTGTGAAGGAAGGGAGCTGGTGGGTTTGTGGGCAGGGAACAGGACAGCCCCAATGTGTTTGAACTTTTATACTTTGGCTTGGTCCTGCCCACTTCCAGCCTTCTCCCCGCTGTACCCATCATGTGTTGCTCACCCTATCCACCAGGTGTCCCTCTCCCCACTCACCCCTACCCCTGGTGCTAACCACCCATCAAAGGCTTTCTGTGCTAGCAGGGGACAAGTTCAGAATGGATTGGGAAATAAGACATGAGACAGATGGACATCATTCTAAGACAGATGCCTTAGAATCACAGCCTCTGGAATAGGAGTCCCCTATGTTTCTCCTTTGGTAAAAAAGCAATAAAACTTCTTTTTCCTTTTCCTCAAAACTGTGTTCTCATTATTGGATTGACATTGGGGACAAAAACCAAGTTTTCCATAACAAATTGGTGACCCAGGTGGGACTTGAGAGCAGCCCCCACTCCAGCTTTCTGGGGCAGGCCTGGTACTCCAAGCAACACCACTTCTATGCTGAGGATGCAAGGTGGCTGGCAAAGTTGTTGAGAGCTAACTGCTGAAAAGTTGGGAGTTGGGTGAGTTTGCCTTGGGTTGAACCAGAGAAGCTATTCCTATAAGTAAAGAGAGGGACAAGGGACGTCCCAGCAGCTGCCAAAGCTCCTCTTGCTTCAGGGAACTCTTGCCTTCTCTCCTGGAATGGTATGGGTTGCTACATCTTGGTTCACTTCAAAAAAAAGGAAACTGCTGGGGTTGTGGCTCACAAGTGGTAGAGCGCTTACCTAGCATGGGTGAGGCACTGGGTTTGATTCTCAGCACCACATAGAAATAAATGAATAAAATGAAGGTCCAGCAACATCTTAAAAAAAAAGAAAAAGGAAGCTGAATACAGTAAAGTCACGACTTCTTTGGCCATCTGCATGATCCTTTCCCTAGGTATGCATTGTCCAGTCACCTGCTAACTGCCACCATGGACCTCTGCACCACTCTGATGCAGAATACCCTTAACTGTCCATGCCCCACCTAATAAAGAACAAGGACTTTCTGTCACTTTCCACAACTTGCCCTCTTTCTATAGGAAGCAGTTTAGAGATGCCATAGCCCATTTTTTCCATAGAAATGGAATGTAGAAATTGAC